CAGAGGCCTCATGATGGAAAATGCTATCCACATCCAAAGAAAGAACTATGGAAGTTGAATTACTATTTTTTTCTCTTCTGTTGAGTTTTGTTTCCTCTTTCTGATGGTTCCTCCTATTGGTTTTAATTTTTACTTACAACATCACTAATGTGAAAATATGTTTAATAGGAATGTAAATATATAGCCTATATCAGATTGTGGCCTGTCTTGGGGAGGATGGTGGGGAGGAAGGGGGAGAAAAATTTTAAACTCAAAAGCATATGGAAGTGATTATTGATAAATCAAAATAAATTAATAAAAAGAAAAAGAAAAAAGCTATGATCAAGTTTAAAAAACAATAAAAAGTCCCACCTGGATTTTTTTTGGTTAAAAAAAATTTAAATTGTTGAAAACAAAAAACATTTATCACTTTCCTATTTTGTCATGTTAGCCAATAGATGTGAGGTGGTATTTCAGAGTTGTTTTGATTTGCGTTTCTCTAATCAATAATGATTTAGAGCATTTTTTCATATGACTATAGATAGCTTTAATTTCTTCATCTGCCTGTTTATATCCTTTGACCATTTATCAATTGGGGAATGACTTGTATTCTTATAAATTTGACTCAGTTCTCTATATATTTTAGAAATGAGGCCCTTATCAGAGACATTGGTTGTATAATTTCTTTTCCAGTTTTCTGCTTCCCTCCTAATCTTGGTTGCATTGACTTTGTTTGTGCAAAAACCTTTCAATTTAATGTAATCAAAATTATCCATTTTGAATTTCATAATGTTCTCTGTCTCTTGTTTGGTCATAAATTCTTCTGTTCTCCGTAAATCTGACAAGTAAACTACTCCTTGCTCTCCCAGTTTGCTTACAGTATCAGCCTTTGTATCTAAATCGTGTACCCATTTTTACTTTATTTTGGTATATGATGTAAGATTTTGGTCTATGCCTAGTTTTTGCCATACTCTTTTCCAATTTTCCCAGCAGTTTTTGTCAAATAGTGAGTTCTTATCCCAGAAGCTGGGGTCTTTGGGTTTATCAAACAGTAGATTATTATAGTCATTGACTACTGTGTCTTGTGTACCTAACCTATTCCACTGATCCGCCACTCTATTTCTTAGCCAGTACCAAGTAGTTTTGATGATTGCTGCTTTATAATACAATTTAAGATTTGGTATGGCTAGGCCACCTCCCCTAGCATTTCTTTTCATTAGTTCCCTTGATATTCTGGACCTTTTGTTCTTCCAGATGAACCTTGTTATTATTTTTTGTAGCTCTATAAAATAATTTTCTGGTAGTTTGATTGGTATGGCACTAAATAAGTAAATTAATTTAGGTAGAATTGTCATTTTTATTATATTAGCTTGGCCTACCCATGAGCAACTGATGTTTTTCCAATTATTTAGATCTGACTTTGTTTCTAAGTGAAAAGTGTTTTGTAATTGTATTCATACTGTTTTGTAATTGTCTTCATATGGTTTTGTAATTGTGTTCATATGGTTTCATAATTGTGTTAATACTGTTTCATAATTGTGTTCATACCCTACAGTCTTAAATAAGAACTTGTGGAAGGCCCAGGATGGATAGCCTGTTACTATGCCCTGGGGCTATCTTTATACCTCTCATCTCTACAGCTAAAGTTCCTGGCAGAATAGAGGTTGCTTCTGGATTCAGTCCTTGCCTCTTCTCTGAAGTCACCGTTTGGAGTCTCCTTCCCTTGAAATGTCCGTTTCTGAGCCACTGTCTGGTTCAGACAGTCTTTGTACAATTGGTAGGCAGTCTTTTTTGTTTAGAGTCCACTGAGGTAATTGTCCATCAGTCTCTGTCCTCTTATTCTCATGGTGCATATGGGTATGGCTCCTCCCTCCCCAAATGTTATTCAAACTTCAGTCTAAGTGTCCTATTACCATTTATTCTCAATAAAACAGCATTGCTATAGTGAGTATATGTATAGTCCAAGCTCCGGTGGAAGAATTCCATTGTCCTGATAATAGTCCTATTCTTTTTGTACATTAGTACCTAAATTCATCATCTGGTTACCTCAGACTGGTGTCTGATGGTTTCACATACCTATGATCTCCTGGAGAATAGGGCTCACTTTCTTGTTCGTGTCCAGTGAAGCATGCTGAAATACTTCACAGTCCCACAGTCTTGTATTCTTTGAGATAAAAATGCGGGTGAAAAGCAATTAAGACTATATTTTCCTATACAATAAAAACTAAAAGCTATTGAGGTTACTTCTAAATACTACTGGGGGAGGGGGCAACCTTGGACTCTCGGGATGTTTTCAAAGGTATTTTCTTAAGACAATATTCTCAGGGGCAGCTAGGTGGCACAGTGGATAGAGCTCCGGCCTTGGAGTCAGGAAGACCTGAGTTCAAATCCAACCTCAGATACTTGATACTAGCTGTGTGACCCTGGGCAAGTCACTTAATCCCGAATGGCTCACCAAAAAGCAAAAGCAAAAAAAAAAAAAGACAATATTCTTGACTTTATTGTCCACTATAAATTCGAATAGTAGAAAATTGAAGCTAGAGAGGGGAGGGGGATACAGTTTCTCAGTGTCCCTCAAATTTCATTGTATAGGGACCCAACAGCCTTCTCCTCTACAGGATAAATATTCCCAGTTTATTCAACCATTACTCATCTTTTCCAGTTTCCTCAACACTTTGGTGACCTATTTTCTTATTTGTCAATGTCCTTCTTAAAATATGGCTCCCAGAGGGGCAGCTAGGTGGCGCAGTGGATACAGTACTGGCCCTGTAGTCAGGAGGACCTGAGTTCAGATGTGACCTCAGACACTTGACACTTACTAGCTGTGTGACCTTGGGCAAGTCATTTAACCCCATTGCCTAGCCCCCCAAAAAACAGAACAAAAACAAAATATGCCTCCCAGAAATGGACGTAATACTCCACATAAGCTCTGACCACACATTTGATTTTTATTTTTTTGAGAACAATCCAAAAGGTTTTAGAGCTAAATAGGAAACAAGGAAAGAGCTCTAGCTGGGCAATATCATCTATGTCAAAGACAAGACCTATCAACTGGTTCCAAAGGTCATCCCCAAAAAGGAGTCCAGATATGGCCTGAGCATCAACAGGCTTCTGGGATTTAATTGACACCTCCTCAGTTCTAACAGTATTCTGGCCTACAATATAAAGTATGATCTTTAGTATTCAGGTCACACAACCATTTTGAATTTACTGTGGAAAATGGCATAAGAAGTTGGGCTAAGCCTCATTCCTATCAGACTGATCTCCAGTTTTCTCAGTAGTTCTTACCCAAGAGGGAGTTCCTTCCTAGGTAATTTATGTTTTTCAGCCTTTTCCTTTTGTCTTCTGAATTGTGCATACAAAGAAGCATACAATCTTCTTAAGATGTGTATACAATTTTTGTATTTTTTAATATTTTTCCTATTACATATAAAAACAATTTTAACATCCATTTTTTAAAAATTTGAGTTCTCCAATTCTCTCCTTCCCTCCTTTCCTTCCCAGATATGGCAATTTGATATAGGTTATAGGATACAATCTTCTTAATAAAGAATAATAGAACCAGTCAATGCCAGAGGTTGCAAAGAGCCAAATTAAGGCTTGATGTAAAGAAAAAAAATTTCCTAATGATTAGAAATGGTGGAAAGTGGAATGGTCTGCTTTGGAATGTAGAGGGTTCTTCCTTATCAGGAGTCTTCAAGCAAAGGCTGGGCAAGTTGTGTTGGGTATGTTATATGGGAAATTCTTTTTTGGGAATGAACTGGTTGCTGAGTTTCCTTCCAACTCTGAAATTCTATAAAAACTGAGATCCATATGAAATGCTCTACAACAATCTGAGGAGAAAGAGAATGCTTCCAGGTAAGAGGATCAGAGGTCTCAAGGAGAAATGGCACCTAAGCGGAGCCTTGAAGGAAAAGAAGACTTTCAATAGGCAGAGTTGAGGAGGGAATATACTCAAAGTACAGGAAATCTAATGGAGTCTTGATCAATGTCTGGATGCAAAGGAACTGCTAAATGTGATAAAAAAAAAATACTCCAGTTTGGTTGCAATGTAGGGTGCACAAAGGAGATTAGCCTCAAATAAGGTTGGAAAGTAAATTGGCATCAGATTACAGTGGGCCTTATAGGTTAAGTAAGGAGAGTTTGCATTTCATCCTATAGGCTATAGGGAGCTACAGAAATTTTTCAAGCAAGGAAGTGATATGATCACACCTGTGCATTTGGAAGATGAGTCTGGCAGTTGTGTGAAGAGAGTAGATATTCGAAGCAGGGAGACCAGTTAGGAGGTTATTACAATGGTCTAACCAAGAAGAGAGGAGAACTATTATTATACCTCACATTTATAAAGCACTTTACAGTTTGCAACACCCTTTAACTTCTCTTATTTGACCCTCACACTAATAAGGGGTAGGTGCTATTGTTATCCTCATTTTACAGATGAAACTGAGATTTAGACATCTGCTGAGGGTCACATATCTATCAAATATCCGAACTGGGAATTGTATCTAGGTTTTCCTGACTCAAAGTTCAACTCCCTATCTGAAAGGGGCTCTCAACTTGGAATATCCTCTCTTTCCTCCCATAATGAAACCTTCCTCATCCTCCAATTTAAGGGTGAGCCTTGTTATTTGATTTCACTATACTCTGTAGGTCTCATTTTGCATTTACTGCTTTCTGCTTTGCATTACTACTAGATTGTAAGCTCCATGAGGGCAAGGCCCGCCATGTTTTGTCTCCCAGAGTACCACAAAGCATTGTACCTAACCGACTTAATAAAAGTTAGGGGAATGCACTGCTAAAAGTTTTCCCATTTACAGTCACAGGTAGCTGTGGGCAGGGGCTATGCACTGTGGCCTTTAATAAGGACGGGAGCTACTGCTTCTTCCACCGAATAAAGGATGCTGGGCAAATTTGTCTGAGGTTGCTCGCAAAGACACAAAGCGGTCAAGCCCCGCCGGATACAAGCGCATGCGCCCTAGGTCCTTTCTTTCTCCATTCACATTGCGTTTCAGCTTCTCTTGGTCCCAGCGACTTGCCGTTGCGCCAACGGAGCCATTGACGGTCCGCTGCAATGGCGGCGGGGGCGCCCGATCCCCAGTCGCGATTTGGCCAGTCAGTGAAAGGGCTGCTCACCGAAAAGGTGAATGCCTGCGGTACGGACGTGATCGCCCTCACCAAGCAGGTGCTGAAGGGTTCACGGAGCTCTGAGGTGAGGCGGAAGGCCGCTCTAGGCGAGGGGATGGGGAGGAAAAACCTGTGGGCGAGCGCTGGGGAAAGCGGGCGGAAGCCGCGCTGCATATTGGGATTTGTAGTTTTCCCCATGGAATCCTCTTCAGTATCTGGTTGTGAGCCTGCAAATAAAGTGGTGCATCCTGGGAACTGAAGTCCATTGAGGAGTGGGAGAGACGTGGTGGGCGTGGCTACTGTGTGGTTGTGTCTTAAGGATCGTGATCTTGAAAGCGTTGAGTCCCAGAATTGGAAGGAACTTGAGGGCCCATCTAGGCTAGTCCCCCAGGCAGTAATAGGATCATTAGATTTAAAAGGAGAAGATCCCAGAGATCATCTATGGTAAATGGCTCGCTTTGTGAATGAAGACGGAAAGATCTCAGAGATCATCTGAAGTCCTAAATTTCGTAAATGAAGCCCAGAGAGGTTAAGTGATTTGTCCAAGGTCACACAGAGCTAGTAGAGGACTTTAAACGCGGGGTTCAGATTCCAGGTCCAGTGTTCTTTCCACTACACCATTTCGTCTGAACCTGTTCATTAGGATGATGAGATTAAAGAATGTTAGAACTGAAAGGGACCTTAGAGTTCATTGCACAGAAGAGGAAATTGCCTTAGAAATGGGAAAGAATTTGCCCAGTTGTATTGAGCCCACATTTAAAATGTTCTCCCCACGTGCGAGGCACTGCTGCCCTTGGTCATTAAAGAGCAGGTACCCTGGGCCACCTGACCTGCACAGGAGAGATGCTTTCCATATCCTGCTGTGCATTCCCTTCCTGGATTTGATAAAGACTGGCCATCCCTTCTGACATCTGAATCCTTCCTTTCACTTCCCACATCCTGGTCCTGCAGCCATTCTTGTCACTTTTTGCATCTCCAGAAAGGATTAATTTCCTTGGCTAATAGATGAGCTTTTCTTTCCTGGACCAACTGTTAACATTTTATTGGCTTTCCCCCCTCCAGCTTCAGGGCTCCTTGACTCAGACAGAATAGTGTACTAGGGAGAACACTGAACTTGAAGTCAGAAAAACAGGATTCAGATCCCACCCCTGCTTCTTCCCAGGTGATCCATCTTGGGGCTAGTCATTTCACCTCTGATCCTTCAATCTCCTCATCTGTAAAATGAGGATAACAATATTTGACTGCCTTACAGGATTGTTGTGAAGATCAGATGAGTACTGTCAGTACATTTATTAAGCCTCTCCTTTTTTCCAGGCACTGTGCTTAAACACTGGGGATACCAAAAGAGGAAAAAGCAGCCCCAGCCCTCAAGGAACATACTGTCTAATGGGGGAGACAACATGCAAATAAAATACAAAGCAAGCAATGCAGGATAAATAGGAAATAATTCACAGAGAGGAGGCACTGAAATTAAGGGAGGTCGGGGAAGGCTTCCTGTAAAGGGTGGAATTTTAGTTGGGACTTAAAGGAAACCAGGGAGGTCAGTAGTCGGAGTGGAGGTGGGAGAACATCCCAGTCATGGGGGACAGCCAGAGAGAATGCCTGGAGCTCAATGATAGAGTGTTTTATTCATGGAACAGCCAGAGGCCAGTGTTACTGGATCAAAGAATATATGGTGAGGAGTAAATAAAGTATAAAAGACTCGAAAGGTAGGAGAGGGCTAGGCTATGAAGGGCTTTCTCTGAATGCCAGACAGATCATTTTGTATTTGATCCTGGGGACCATAGGAAACCACTGGAGTGAAGTAATATTATCAATAATATTCACATTTATATAGAATTTAGAACTGGACATGACTTGCCCAAGCTCACTAAGGTAGCACAGTCATGATTTGAACCCAGATCCTCTCATTTCAAATCTGTTGTTCTTTTTACTACATCAGGCAGAATAAATGAATCCTTTTCGCTTATGACACTGACCTTTCTAGCTGGAAGAACTCTTCCGTGGGTCATCTACCCATAAGCCTCTATGGGGGCTCGGAATTGGCCATTTAAGAGTTGCAACAAAGGGAAGGAAAATGAGAGTCCAGGTAGTGGTTGTGGCTGTAGCGCTGGTGAAATGTTCAGTGTCCTTGCGCCCAGGCGAACACTTAAGGGAGCTTTGGGGCTTATTTTGACTGGAGCCTCAGTGTTCTGTGAGGGGAAACTGCAGCACGTTAGGCCAAAACACTTTTGGGTGTGGAGCCCCACACCACTTACGAATGTCAGTCAACAGAACTGGGGATATTTATCCTGAAGAAGGGAAGACCTAGGCGGGCATAATCAAGGCTTGGGAGAGCAGCCACGTAGAAAAGGGGTTACACTTTTTTGGGGGGGGTGGTCAAGTGTCACCTGTGACCTGATGGGCCGGTCTTGGGGCTTCGTTTTATCTGACAAGTGAAGGATTTGGACTCGATGACCTCCAAGGTTCCTTCAGACCCTCAATCTATCATCCTGGGAGCCTCTATGTTGCAAACTTTGACTTGATGTAAAGGAAGATTGAAGAGCTAGAGCTATCAAAAAGTGGAAGGGGCTGCCTCATGAGGGAGAGGGCCATTCCTGCTCACTAGAGGTCTTTAAATGAAGGCTAAATGACCATCTGTTTGTCAGGGATATTGGAGGGGCAGTTCCTGGTCAGGTACCAGGTGGACCAAATGGTCTCTGGGGTCTCTTCCAACTCTGAAGTTTTGTGATTCTCAACCTCGCCTTTTATCCTGACATCTACCCCCCCCTCCCCCGACGCCCCCGGGAGACCCTGTCTCAGCGCTTGGCTAATGAGCCATGTGGAAAGCTCAGCAGTTTCAGAGTGCTTCTGTTCTGAAGCAGTGGCCTTTAGAACAGATGTCAAAACTGTGCCAGGCTCGCCATGGAGCCAAGGAAATGCATTCTCAACATGAACAAATGGAAAATTAGCCTCCATTACATCTTGAGTGTATGTGCAGTAGGGAGGGCGGGAGGGGTGCAGCAGCTGCACTAGGAAGATTGCAGGAAGTTTGGAAATTGTGTTGATTATTACCATTTTTATTTCTGTCTTTCAGCTGCTGGGTCAGGCAGCTCGAAACATGGTGTTGCAGGAAGATGCCATCTTGCACTCAGAAGACGTAAGAAGTCTTTTCTTTTAAGAGTCAGGTTTTCTAAGGACAGTATAGCTTCTGTTGCTGCCATGAAGTGGACAGTCATATTTCTATGTTTGTTTGTTTTTGTATACAGAGTTTAAGGAAAATGGCAATTATAACAACTCATCTTCAATATCAGTAAGTACAGTGTAAACTCTGAAGGGGAGCTCTTTGCAGGATCAGCATTGTCTGTGCTTCCTCACGATATCCCCAGGGTAGGCCAAAGGGGCAGAAAGTTTGTTTTAGGAGCATATTGGCCCAGTGGGAATGATGGGAATGAAGCATTTGTGGACTTGGGACCAGGATATGCGTACTGGGAAGCTGCACCCTCCCTTATCACTGTGGTTCACATTAATGCAGTTGTGTCCAGTACATACAGATCACACAGATGGCTTTTAAAAAGAGACATTTTTTCTAAGATTCCTCAAACGATCACATTGTACTTTTAAGAAACCTCATTTATTATTCCTCAGATTTGCTTCAGTTTAGTTGTTTTTTTATCTTTAGAGACTAGCGAATGAGAAAGAAATTGAAGTGGTTAATTTGTTTCATTTATTTTCTTTTGAGGAATGTTCAATTGCATTCGAACTTCTAATATTTTAATAAACAATATCGTGCGTGGTTGTTCTCCATATGGGTGTGGGTCTGCTGACATGATATCTCCAAGCCTTAGATACCCAGGATGAGCTTGAGCCTTGAATGTAATCTGCTGAATCACATCCCATTAATGTGATGGACGGGGCCAGAGGGACTGAGTTGGGAATCCATCTTGGCAGCTGTATCTACTCATGTGTAGGACTCTTCAGTCAGTAGTAGCCAGTTAGTATGAAAGACAGTGATATAGCATGTGACAAAAACTAAAAACTTATTTCAGCTTGTGTGCCTTGTTGTGCATTCTGAGTTAGACTATAATTCTTATTTTCCTCTCCTCTTTTCTTATTGAGGCAAGAAGCTATTCAGAAGAAGTAAGTAACACTGGAGGCATGGGGTGGGGGAAGCTTGGGGGAAGGGGGGGTGGCTAGCCTGCAGAAACTCTGCAGCTGGGTCCTGGCTGGATGGGAAATTTAGGTCAACCTACTGGTTGACTTATACTCTCTGTATCTTGAACCATGTATCCCTGCATTCTTAAAGAAATGTCATTAACTTTCAGATAGCAGCTCATCTGGTTGCTAACACAGTTTATCCAAATGGCACCTCAAACCAAATTTAATCACTTTTAAGTGGCACTTTTAATTGGCAACATCCATTTACATTCTAATGGATAATATACATTTATTGAATTGAATCATTTAATGTATTCAAGTTAATAAAATTGTTGATTCTGTAAACTCCTTGCCAGTAGGGATTATTTCTTTCATTGTATATTCAAAGCATATAGTATAGTACCTAGTACATAGTAGGCACTTAATAAATGCTTCTTGATTGATTGGTCAGGTAGACAAAATATGCCCTCTGAAATCATATTTATAACATTAATTTGCTTAGCAAATCTCTTCCCCCTTCATTGGCAGTATAAAGCTAGGGACCTAGATATGAATGATCGAAAATTCTGAAGCTAGTGTAGTCCATACTAATGAGAAGTTGACTGTATTAATATTTGAGAACTCATAGTATATATGAGGGCAAGGAGGAAGAGGTATTATCCCAGGTACAGAGCATATTTTAACATTAAAGTGAAAAAAAATGTTTGTTACTTGTTTATTCCAAATGAACCTTTTCTCCATCTGATTTGCAGTGTTGAGCTGTCTTCAAATCTACAGGACCAGCTGAAGCATTTGCTGAAATGAAATGGCATCTTAAAGGCCCAAAAAGCACATTTCTCAAAACTGAGAGGGAAATAGAGCTCACATCCCCATCCTCTGTTCCAGCAGTTCAGTTAGAAGAGAATTGTGATGGCCTTCAGCTTCTACCAGAGTATGGGGTTTTCTCTCTCTATGTAAAGACATAATTTAAGGCAACACAGATTACGGGGATCAACTCAGAAGTATCATTTGATTCTACGCAGACAAACCTGTTCCCTCTCACCCAATTCTTCATTTACTGTGTTTTAGTTTTAATTAAAGCAGAATTAAGAGACATCTCAGTTATTTCCATAGCATTTTTTTTGAGCATCAAAATCATCTTTAATATGTAGAAAGTCGTGGCATAAGTGTAATAATTTAGCCTATACTTTGTCATACCGGTTTAATTCAGAAATGCCAGCTGGCTAGGTGAAGAAAGAATGATGATGAATAGTCTATTTGTGGGTTTTCCTATTTAGTAATTTCAGAACTCCCTACCTTGATTCTTTCAATATTTATTCATTAAATGACTACCTGTAAGCCCACTTTGCTTGATGTTGAGGCCCATACCACAGGCAAAATACCTGCTGTTTTCTCAGCTCACGCAGAAGTGCTATTTACAGTTCTATGTATTATAGTTAATTTTTATATGTGTAAAAGCAAAGAGTTTGGCAAACTGTGCCTCAGCTGGCCAGCTGTGGCCTCTTCCCTTGACCTGAATTCTTAGCTTTTTTTTTCCTTGTCTTCATGATCCCTAATTGGCCTTGAATTCATTTTGTAATCCTGAAAGCTGTCAGTGAATTCATTATTTGTGACATACTGTTCTTGCCAAATGCAGAGGAATTTGAATTATTGTCCTTTGCAGTAAATAGTGGTTATGAAAGTTTGTGTCACATCAGAGACCCCTGTCTGCAATTATCTTTTCTTACCTAGAAAACCTTCTTGGAATATGACAGTTTCGGATCAGAAGCATTATCATGTCTTCATATCCAGAGTGTGTTTACCAGGTTTGTAAACTGGGCGTGGAGGACGTGTTGACTGATGTCATAGGGACAAAACAGACTTTGGAGAAAACTGTACTTTAACTGAAATTCAATAGAGCAGCAGCAAACAGAAGTCCAATGTACACTTCAGTTCTTATGAAACATCATTTGTGTCTTTCAGGCAAAATCTGTTTCAGTCGGCTTCAGTAGCCAGTGCATGCTAGTCAGGAGAACCAGGTTCCAGGGCTGGCTTAGCCATTTTCAGCAGCTCCTTAATCTCTTTGTCTCTTGAGTCTGTTTCTTTGTCCTTAAAAAGAGAAGAGCACTTACCCCACCTAGTAGGATTTTTGTGGAAAGAGCAAATTAAATGATGTAACAGATAATGCACTAAGATAATAATGTGAGCTACATTCATGAAGCACCATGCTGTTTACACAATATTAAATTTATCGAGTCAGAGTGGTAAGCCCCATGACGGCAGGGCTAAATAAATAAATAAACACACCTTTTTATGTGCACACGTATATATGTACATGTATGCATGCATTTATAGGTACATATGTATGTGTGTGTATAAATAGGTAGCTAGCTGGTCCAGTAGATAGAATGCTGGGCCTGGAGTCAGGAAGACTCATCTTCCTGAGTGCAAATTTGGCCTCAAACACTTTTTAGCTGTGTCACCCTGGGCGGGTTACTTAACCCAGTTTGCCTCAGTTTCCTCATCTGTAAAATGAGCTGGAGAAGGAAATGGCAAACCTGTAGATTTACCAAGAAAATCCTAAATGGGATCATGAAGTGTTGGATATGACTAAAACAACTGAAAAACAACATTTATATACATATTTAAATTTATATGTGCATATATACAAATATATGTTTTATACAAGTATAAAATATAATTTAATATAAAATTTTAATTGAATCTATCTGCCCCAGCACCTAGAACAGCACTCTGCTTGCAGTAGGCACTTAATAGGTCTTTGCTTAATTAGGTGTTTTAGCTATGCTTTAACCACTTTAATAATATTATAAAGCAATAACTCATGAGCTACAGAATGATAGTAGCTGGCATTTATGTAATGTGCTTTAAGTTATGCAAAGTGCTTTGCTAAGCAATCTCGTTGGATTGTCACAACAATCTGTTAGGTGCTATTATTATGCTCATCTTATAGATAAAACTGAGGCTCAGATAGGAAAGAGAATAAGCATTTCTATGGCACCTGCTATGTGCCTGGCACGATACTAACCCCTTTATAAATACCTTGTTTGTGAAGTAAGGGACTATTATTATCCCCATTTTACAGTTGAAGAAACTGAGGTGGACAGAAGTTAAGTGACTTGCTCAGGATCACACAGCTAGTAGGTGTTAGACACTGGACTTGAATTCAGTGGAATGCTTCCAACTCTAGGCCCATCAAGGCCATCTCTCTATCCATTAGGCCACCTAGCCGCCTCATACAGATAGACAGCTTCTTGGATTTTTTTTTCTTTGCTTTTTTTTTTTGGGAGGGGTGGTGAGGCAATGGGGTTAAGTGACTTGCCCATGGTCACACAGCTAGTAAGTGTCCAGTGTCCAAGGCCTCATCAAACTCAGGTCCTCCTGACGGAATTCTATCCACTGTGCCACCTAGCTGCCCAGGAATTTTTTTCTTTTATTACAGTGATAGCAAACATGCATTTTTTTGGTTCTGAAAGCACCCATAGTTATTTATAATTGTGTTTCTCACAGCGCACATGGCTTTATACTATGTGCTTGTTAAACCAGGATAATGATGTGGAACAGTATGAGAAACATCAAATCACAGACATCATTAAAATGGTTTATCCCAAAGTGCAGCCATCCCTGAAGTTTCCAAGAGTTAATTACTCAACTTTAAAGGCAGTCGAATTCTAAAGAAAGGCAGAGACAATGTGAGACTGCTCATTTACATGTCCATAGCATTTTTGAAAAGCCATTAGTATGGGCCTCACCAGCCGGTTACAGCTCCTTGGTCTCTGCTAATTAAAAATAGACTCGTTGAAATTCTATCTTCCTCAGCTAGGACACAGTTCCTTTGAGGGGATGTTTAATAGTTCCTTGAAAACAAAGTGGAGTAATAAAGTGCCATCTGGGCAATAATGGGAAAAGGAGGTCAGGGATGCAGCCTGGTTGTTCTGGATCAGGGGTGGGGAACCTCAGCCTTGAGGCTGTATGAGGTCCTCTAGGTGCTCAAGTGCAGCCCTTTGACTGAATCCAAACTTTTGTCCTGTGAAGTTTAGAATCAGTCAAAGGGTCGTACTTGAGGACCTAGAGGGCCACATGTGGCCCTGAGGATGAGGTTTCCCACCCCTGTCTGGAGGGTGTGGTCATTCACTGGCCCTAGCCCTCCCTTCTTCCCTTCTCCATGGTCTGATCAAAGGTGCTGGGTCCCTGGCCAGCACTGGCACAGGACTTGTTGTGTTTGGGTGCTGGAGGGTGGGGCAGGGACTGGCCTGTCCCTAATGGCTCTGCGGAGAAAAGCTTTGTGTGGAAGGGCTGGCCAAGCGGAAGGATGAGCCCCAACACTGGTGGGGGTAGGGGAGGCAGTAGTCAGTGCGGCTCTTGCCAGGCATACTCCTTTCTCAGGATCAAATCTTGCCCTGTCCAGCTTTCGTCCCAGGGTCACCCTTTGGCTTCCTGGGGGAAGCTGGGGGTCGCTGAGACACTCTTCACCTGATCCCTGCCTCCCCAGCTGTCCTCCATCCCATCTGTCCTTCCCAGCTGCCCCTCAGAGCAGCCCCTTCCTTCTCTTCCGCAGAGACGGCCATCTCCAGCGAATTGCAGATCTGGCAAGATGTACAAGTGAACTTTGACTCCAGAGCACGGGGCATTGGGCTCCTGATGGGCCAGGGGTCTGGGCCTGGGGCAGGCATCAGGCCCGGGGACCTTGGCACCCCGAGTTCAGGGTAGGGATGCTGATCTGGGTCAGGCACTAAGCCTCGGGAGAGGGGCGGTGCTCCCCGTGCACTTCCCATGCCCTAGACACCCACAGGCACCCCACACCCGGGCCCTCTCCATTTCAGGACTTCTATGGGGTGGTGTTGAAGAAGGGTGAGGATCTCACTCAAACACCTTCATGACAGCAGCCCGCCCCAGCTCTGTGCAAGTCCTGGAGGCTTTGCGCCTGGTATATGAGGAAGTGATGCAGAGCTCCTAAGTGAAGGGGCGGCCTTGGAGCCCCCATAACTGCCCTTTGCTCCACAGAAGCCTGTGCCTCCAGTGCTTTGGCGTGGTCGTGTCATTGAACCTTCAGTGGCTCCCCACTGTAAGCTGGATAAAAGCCTTAGCCTGGCCATCAGGGCTAGCCCCAGACTAAGTATACAAAGAGTATACCCATACAATATGGGTTCCCAAAGAGTAACGTATACATGGCTCCCAAAGAGTGACCATACATGGCACAGTAACCTGCACTTTACTGCAACCAAGCCTAGCTCTCTCCTTGTTTTTACCTTTAGCATGGTAGCTGGTACTAACCAGGTTCTTCCCAGGATTTTTATACTTTATTTGGTAACACAAACCATAACTCAAAGCATTAAATGTATCTGTTCATCTATAAAGGGCCTGTTTTTCCAAGCATTCAATAATTTCAAGTTTATTGATAGATTGATTGACTGACTTGTCAATATCTCTTTGCCCTTCTTCCCCTCCCCCAAATTTACCAGCGTGATTTCTGTCATTCCCTCTTCGAGTCAACATTGTGTACAATGCATGTCCCCGTATTAGGTGCTGTGGGAGATAGAGACAGGGCCCCACCCTCATTCTAATAGCTGAGGTGACCGTATTTAAGAAACTGTTTTGTCATATAGTCAATGAGCATTTATTAATAAACAACTATGTGCCAAGCACTGTCCTAAGCTCTGGAGATACAAAGAAGTATTAAGAAAAAAGACAGTTTCTGCTCCCAAGGAGATTACAGTCATAAAAAAGGATGATGTTAGGGAGAAATTACTTTTGCCTGGTAGAAATCAGAGAAAATGTCATGGAGGATGTGGTGTTTAGACTGGGCCTTGAAGGACCAGTAGGATTTCAGTGGTCAGAAGTGAATAGAAGCACATTTCAGAGACTTGTGAGCAAAGGAACTGAGGTGGGAACTCTTATAATTGGTGAATGAATGGCAAGAAGCCTAGCTGACCTTTGTCTGTCCAAATCCTACTCATCCTTCAAGGCCCAAGTCTTCAGTGTACCAGCCCTAGCCTCTCCCTTTTATAATGTATTGTGTGTGTTAAGTCATTTTTCAGTCGCATCTGACTCTTTGGGCCTCCATTTGAGGGGCAGAGAACTGGAGTGGTTTGCCATTTCCTTCTTCAGCTCATTTTACAGATGAGGAAACTGAGGCAAACAGGGTGAAATGACTTACCCTGGGTCACACAGCTAGGAAGTGTCTGAAAGCCTGATTTGAACTCAGGAAGATGAGTCTTCCTGACTCCAGCCTTTGTACTCTATCCACTGCACCACCTAGCTTCCTTACCCAGGCTCTAGGGAGAAGCTTTCTAATCACCAGATAGTATGGCTGTGGCCTTGGTTAGCACAAGTAGTAGAGATTGCTATGGCCCTGATGCGGCTTAGGGGTTCAGGGGTCCTGGGACCCCAAAATCACAACATGTGGGTCCTGCCCGAAAGAATTCGACCCAAGTCTTCTTTCAGCCAAAGACATGGTTTATTAGAACATCCATCATATTGGGCAGACTCTTAAGGAGTTTGAACGTTAGTAAACTGTGGCTAGATTATAAGAATCTGAGCATCTTAATGGAGACAAGATGGATCTTACGTACAGAAAGCCTATGGGAGGGACCTAGGAGTGGCCAGTAGACTGAGGTGAACAGAACTCCTGGGACCTGGACCTCATGGCCAAGGGAGAATGGATCCTCCCTACGATTAAGGGTGGGAAATGGCCAGGGGCCATAGGGAGGTAAGACAAGGGAGGGGAGATTGGGTGTAGCCACGATGAAAGGGCAGTTGATGGGACTATAGCCTCAGGGGACCGCCAGAGATTTGGCCATGTGGGAAAGTCCAGGGTTTTTCCTTTCTGGGGCCTAGATCCCAACCCCATCAGCCCCAACCAGCCGGTTGATGAGAAAGGACACATCACTGCAATAGATCTGACAGAATCTCAGGTGAGGTTACTTGGGGATTTTTTCTTCCCAGGATTCATTTACACTTTATTTGGGAACACAAACAATAAATCATAGCATTAAAGAAATCTATTCAGGTGCAATGAGCCTGTATTGCCAAGGTATTAAGTTCGAGGGTGAGCAATGCTGGAAATCATATCTAACTTCAGAGTGACATCAGCCTAGGAGGAACAGAAAATGCGGACCTGTTACATGAAAATTTTATATCACACTGAGGAGAACTTGGGTGCAATGTAATCACTTTTCAAGGGCAGATAGGTGGTGCAGTGAATAGAGTGCTGGGCCTGGAGTCAGGAGGACCTGAGTTCAAATTTGGCCTCAGGCCCTTGCTAGCTGTGTGATCATGGTAAGTCACTTAACCCTGTTTACCTCAGTTTCCTCATCTGTAAAATGAGCTGGAGAAGGAAATGCAAACCACTCCAGTATCTTTGCCAAATGGGGTCACAGTGAGTCAGACAAGACTGAAACAACTCAACAACAACATTGATCTTCTTTCTACTCTAAACTACCAGAGAGCTTACACTCTTAGCAATAAACCACCAGAGACCTAATCTTGGATCTCTGAGGTCAGTATTTGGTGGCAGAAGGTAAATGTATTCTTAATAATATTCCTTTAACAAATAGCAACAGTAATAACTGACCTTTATACAGAGCTTTAAGGCTTGCAAAGCACTTTACATCCATGATCTCATTTGATCCTCACAACAACCCTGTGAGGTTGATGCCATTATCCCCATTTTTCCAAATGAGGAAACTGAGGCCCAGGGAGCCTCAGATAAATGATTCACTCAGGGTCATGCAGCTAGCACATATCAGAGGCTGGATTCCAACCCAAAACTTTTTGACTCCCAATCCAACACTTTCTCCTCTCCATAAACAGGCCTTTGCATCTTTTCCAGTATAATTTGAGTGCCAACAGATCCTCTTTTGCAGTCCTCGGCAATGTCAAGTATTACATCACAGGGTTGAGAATCCTTGACTCTCTGTGGCTTCATTGACAGAACAAAGAGTTAGAGTTTCGGTAGGATGTAGAAATGTTATCGAATCTCCCCTTTGCCCCCAATCTATCTTGCAAATGTTTGTTAGAGGGAACGTGTTTGTGGAAGACCTTGGTGCCAAGCAGGGGAAATGAGTCCCCATGGATTGACCTGAGTTAGCAGGAACCCTGCATATTTTTTTTCCTATGATAGATTCAGTGCAGTGTCTCCCACTGGCAGAGAAGCTATGGGAGGAAATTTATGTGGTATATTTTTTCTTTAAATATCCTAACTTTTGGCGTCTATATTTTCTTTCCTCCAGGGAGAAGTGGCCAATACCTTGATTACCACATGGAAAAGTTTGGTTTCCAGACTCCTAATGTGAATTTTATTCACAGCTACATAGAAAAGCTGGGGGAGACTGGAATGGAAGATGAGAATTAGGACATTGTCATGTAGGTCTGTTTCTCTGAGAGATCAGAGCAAGAGGTTCAGAACAACAATCAGTGTTGGGGAAGGCAGAGAACGGATGAATGCCAGTTACTGCAGGACTTTGTGTCTGCAACATGGATTGCGACAGGGAAGGAGACCGTTTAAGCTTACACTTAGCAACAAGCTGCTAAAATCACTGCATTGGGTGTTTCACCTACTAGGTCACTTTTTTTTTTTTAACCAACATGCTTTTACCAACTTTTTTTTTTTAAACAGGCATATGTATGCCTGATTCATCCAAGAATTAAGGTTCAAGTCTTTTCCCTATTTCCCTCTTTCCTATAGATTATTGCCAAATCAAGGCCAAGTAACCATCTTAGTAAGGCTTAGTAAGGCTGGATGTTGTTTTTAAGGTCATCTTAAGGGGCAGCTAGGTGGAACAGTGGATAAAGCTCCAGCCTTGGAGGCAGGAGGACCTGAGCTCAAATTAGGCCTCAGATATTTGATACTTACTAGTTGTGTGGCCTTGGGCAAGTCACTTAACCCTGATTGCCTCACCAGAAAAAAAAAAAGATCATCTTATTAATGATGAGAAAGTATTTGTAGAAAGTGCTTAGCACAGTGTCTGGCAAATAGTAGGTTTTATCTAACTGTTTATTCCTTCTCTCTTTTTCTTCCCTCAAATGACAGTCATAGTAAGGTCCCCTAGATTTGGTTTTTAAGATATTTGGTCCATCATCTGTGTAGAGTAGAGTTTCTTAAGCTAGGGTCCATAAACTTGTTTTCTTTTTTAAAAGTATTTTTATTTTGATTTCAATATAATTTGTTTCTTCAAAATGCTATGTGTTTTATTTCATGTATTTAAAAACATTATTCTTATGGATAAGGGAAGAATTTATGACCCAAACAGGTGATATACAGCATGACAAGATGTAAAATGTATAATTTTTATTACATTAAATTAAAAAAAATTTGCACAAACAAAACCAGTGCAGCCAAGATTAGAAGGAAAACAGAAAACTGGGAGGTTTTAGAGTTTAAATTTAGAGTGAGTTTCTCTAATAAAGGCCTCATTTCTCAAATATATAGGGAACTGAATCAACTTTATAAGAATATGAGTCTTTCTCCAATTGATAAATGATCAAAGGATACGAACAGGCATTTTTCAGAAGAAAAAAATCAAAGCTATCTATAGTCATTTGAAAAAAATGTTCTGAATTATTACTGATTAGAGAAATGCAAATTAAAACAATTCTGAGATACCACCTCACATCTATCAAACTGGCTAACATGACAGAAAAGGAAAATGACAAATGCTGGAGGAGATGTGGAAAAATTGGAACACTAATGTACTGTTGGTGCAGTTGTGAATTAATCCAGCCACTCTGGAGAGCAATTTGGAGCTATGCCCAAAAGGGTATCAAACTGTGCATACCCTCCAGCAATACCACTACTAGGTCTATATGCCAAAGAGATTTTTTTTTTGGCAAGGTAATTGGGGTTAAGTGACTTGCCCAGGGTCACACAGCTAGTGTCAAGTGTTTGGTCTGAGGCCAGATTTGAACTCAGGTCCTTCAAACTCCAAGGCCAGTGCTCTATCCACTGCACCACCTAGATGCCCTAAGATTTTTTTTTTAAAAAGGAAAAATAACCTATTTTTACAAAAATATTTATAGCAGCTCTTTTTGTGGTGGCAAAGAATTGGAAATTGAGGAGATGTCTATTTATTGGTGAATGACTGAATAAGTTGTGGTGTGTGATTGTGATGGAATACAATGGTGCTATAAAAAATTATGAGCAGGCTGCTTTTAGAAATACCTGGAAAGACTTACATGAAATGATACAAAGTGAATTTAGAAGAACCAAGAGAACATTGTACAGGGCAGCTAGGTGGCGCAGTGGATAGAGCATGGCCCTGAAGTCAGGAGGACCCAAGTTCAAATCCGGACTCAGACCAAACACTTGACACTTACTAGCTGTGTGACACTGGGCAATTCACTTAACCCCAACTGCCTTAAAAAAAAAAAAGAGAGAGAAAACATTGTACACAGAAAGAACAATATTATAATGATGAACTATGAATGACTTAACTATTCTCAGCAATACAGTGATCCAAGACAATCCCAAAGGACTCATGATGAAAAATGCTATCCACCTCCAGAGAAAGAAAATGATAGAGTTTGAATGGAGATCAAAGCATATATTTTATTACTTTCTTTATTTTTCTTGGTTTTTTGGTCTGTTTTTTTTCCCACAGTATGACTCAATGGAAATATGTTTTGCATGGCTGTACATGTATAGCCATGTAAATTTGTAAATATCAAATTACTTGCCTTCTCAAGGAGGGGAGAGGATAAAGAGGGAGAAAATGTGGAACTTAATTTTTTTAAAAATGTTAAAAATTGTTATTGTATGTAATTGGAAAAAATAAAATATAAAAATAAAAAACCCCACATTATCCTGAGAAGGGTTCCATAGGCTTCTCTAGACAGCTGAAGGGGTCTACAACACAAAAAAGCTAAGAACTGGTGGTACAGAGGAAGAAGCATTTTATACAATAGCTAACTTGAGCATTTGGTCTTAGGCTTAATATTGCTTTTTCATGATGAAAGTCAGGGCAAAAAGAAAGGAGGAATGATAACCTATTTTTTCCTCAGAAACTCAAACCAGAGTATATTTTTCCTGAAATTTAAAAATATTGAATTCTGTTAAGTGCTCTTCCCGTCTTGCAGAACCTTACAGAAAAGGTCCTTTCTATTTATATGATGCTTTACAATTACAAAGTATTTTCATGTATATCTTCTCTTTGATGTGAAACATTGAAGTAAGCAAGGTAGGTACTTTTATCCATTTTATAGATAAGGAAACCTTAGATGTACCAGCCGCGCCGACCTTGTGTTGGCCGCTCCGTACCCTCTCCTCCTATAAGGAGCAGGCTGCCAGAGTCATACTCACTCTCGAGTCTTTGGTCCTCAGCCGGATAAACACACAGAGACGAGCCATCGGGAGGCGCCAACACCAGAGCTTTATTCAGAGGCCATCACAGCAAGCCATCACAGCAAGCCCAAGCAGCAAGGCCAGACCAACAGAGCAGGAGCCAAGAGAGAGCACGTGATCTGACCACGCTCGTCCTAAGTACCTATCTAGCCCCTCCTCCCCTGCCCGCTTACTAGCCAATGATTGTAGGGTCAGATACCAGAAGGGGCTGTCTGAGTTTAGCACACCAAGGGAAAGGGAGTGACGTAGGAGGCTAGGACCGGATACAGGAAGGAGGCGTCTGGGATTAGTGCATAGACAGAGTACGTGACCTTAGGAAGTCAGGAAGGACACAGGAAGGAGGAGTCTGGGGTCAGTGCTACACAAAGGAACCCAGGAAGTCAGGAAGGTCACAGGAGGCATCTGGGGTTGACGTTGCATATAGGGAGGGGACTAAGCAAAGGGAACTCAGTCCTCTGCCGTCCCACTCCCACGTGGCACCGCCCCTTGCCTCAGGAGCACAAGCTCCGGCTACTTCCTTGCACCCAGCTTATCTCACATAGCACTGCCCACTGCCTCAGGGCTTCTCCGTACCCAGCCCATCCCAGTTCACCACGACTCCGCCTACCACAGCCCCTGCCTCGACTTCCAAAATACCCAGATTCTACCCTACTCTTGCCACAGTGCCCAACTGGCAACTGCCAACATCAGACAGTCCCTCACACTTAGAGGTCAAGAAACTTACCCAAAGATGCTGTCATTCGTGTCTGACTCTTTGTGACCCTATTTGGGGTTTTCTTGGTAGAGATACTGGAGTAGTTTGTCATTTCTTTCTCCAGCTCATTTTACAGATGAGGAAACTGAGGCAAACAGAGTTCAGTGACTTGCCCAGGGTCACACAGCTGGTAAGTGTCTGAGGCAGGATTTGAACTCATGAAAATGAGTCTTCCTGACTCCAGGCCCAGTGCTGTACGCACTGTGGTACCACAAAGCTGCCCAAAGATACACAGCTAGTAAATGGTAGAGCTAGAACTCATATTAGGATGTTTTGACTCAGAATCTAGTTCTCCACTTCACTCTATAACATCCCTGTTAGCAGGAGAGGAAGCAGGCACCTAATTGTTAGAACCAACATTATTTAGGCAGCTCAGAAATATGTGCCCTCCTTACATACTGATATACTTGAGAGCTCATGTTGTCAGGGGAAAAAGAAGTTGGAAGAAAGTTTTTCTTTTTTTTCTCTCCAGATTGAATTGTGTCATTAATCTTGTGTTTAATAAACAAATTGTTCTGTGGGAAGTGTATGGAGTGCTGGAGATAGGGCACTAAGTATTGATCACTGAGCATCAGTCATGGTCTTCCCTTCCCTTACTTGAACTGAGATCTAAACTTGTTTCTCTCATTTACTTCTGGGATTAAAAAGTGATAACAAGAGAGCCCTAGGTTCAGATTTGTTTTCAGGTTCACAAATGGCAGTGAGGCAATAGTAAGTATCCTCATTGACGCCAAAGAATTTAGGAAGTGTAAGAAGATGAATAAAAATTTTTCTTCCCATATACTGCTGTGACTTTCTAGCTAAAGCAGTTCTGGAGACCACTCTCATTTATCATGGGAGGATCACAGTTGATCATGGTACAATATTGCTATTACTTTGTGCAATGTTCTGGTTCTGCTCACTTCACTTTGCATCCTTTCGTGTAAGTCTCTAGGTATTTCTGAAAGCATCTTGCTCATCATTTCTTATAGCACAATAGTATTCCATTATAATCATATACCACAGGGGCAAAGCTGTATGGACATGTAGATATGAGCCAAGCAGGACCTGTTCTCCAGAGGGTATGAACTGGTATGTGGGGAAAGCAGTGTGTTCTGTAGGAGGGTCATTTGACCAGTTCTGACTCAGGGTCCCTGGTGGTTTAGGCTACAGATTGGAACGGAACCAGACACGGAGAATGATTTGGGTTCAAGGCATGGTCCTTAAAAAAGAAATCTAGCCCATAAACCTCAAGATATCTTACAAGGTTTCAGTGATCAAAATTTATATTCCTTTGGGCAGAGCACCTGCTGGTAAGGGTATGATTCCCTATGTGGACAGAGGGAGAGGAGGGAGGGAGAAAGGAAGGAAGGAAGGAAGGAAGGAAGAAAGAAATAAGGAAGGAAGGAAGGAAGAAATAAGGAAGGAAGGAGCTGTGTTGCCCAACTGAAGCTGGACAGTTGGGTCCCCAGCGGAGCAACTACTGCTACTCACAGATTATTGTTTGTCCTTCGTTCTTGAAGAGGACCATGACAGCAGGAAGGTGGTGTCATGACTTGCAAGTGAATTGGATTTAAGTGTGGGAGAACTGTGCAAACTCACTAGCCTCACTCTCTCCTCTGGAGCCATCTGGATCCAGTGGCAAGATACAGATCAGGACAACTGTAGACCATCTAACATTTAACCAAAGGAGGTTTACTTAACGATAGCTTGGAAAGGCTATTCAGCAAGGACACAGAATTGTTCAAGAAAGGCAGTTTCCCATGCCTTTGCATTTATTACAGTGGCACACTTTGTTAATAAGGTATGTCAAGCCTGAAGGTTGCCTAAAGAGCCCTCAACTCTTGGTACTCTGGGCTTTTATACTTAGGTAGCCAAAAAGCTATGGCAACTGATTGAGCCTTAGCTCCCTGGACCACTTAAGTCTCAAGAACAGTTTCATTGCCTTTTAGGAGAAAACTAACCAAGCCTAGGTGGAGTAGATGGTGCTCCTGCTACAAGATGTCTTGATGGTAGTTGACTTGTGCCCTATTTGCAGGAATGCCAGGCTCCTTTCTAGATTCAAGAACAAAGTAAAAGAATTTCTATGACTCCTTGCCACAGAGACTTTGGCCAACAGTCCCAAAGAGCCTCATGGCTTTTAAACATTTTTCCTGGCATTGATTCATCATTTTCACTTCTGGAAGAGGATTGAAGACTTTGGGAACTTTGAGTTTTGAACTTTCTGGGTTTTCTGAGACCTTGGAATGTATCTTCCAATCCCCTTGAGATAAAAGGAATCCTGAGCACCCAGGCCCTGAGATTTTTGAGGATGGTGCTTCTAAGACTGGAGAAACCTAGGTAGGTTGTGAGAAAAGACCTTTGTAAGAGGCATATAAATATGGACTGCTATTATTTTCATCATTGCTGTTATTGTATACTGTTAGGTTTACAACAACCTGAATCTGACTGGGCTGACAATGGCTCTGAGTTTGGGGACCAGCTGATCATCTTTCTTTAGGAGATGGGAGTCCATGTGATGCAGTTTAGGGGTTCAGGGGTGCTGGGACCCCAAAATCACAACACGCAGGTCCTGCCTGAAAGAATTCAACCCAAGCCTTCTTTCAGCCAAAGACAAGGTTTATTAGAACATCCATCATATTGGGCCAATTCTTATGGAGTCTGAACATTAGTAAGCTATTGGCTAGATTTTAAGAATCTAAGCAGTGGCTAGATTTTAGGAATCTGAGCCGTGGCTAGGTTATAAGAATCTAAGCATCTTAATGGAGACAAGATGGACCTTATATACAGAAAAGACTATGGGAGGGATCTAGGAGTGGCCAGTAAGCTGGGGTGAACAGAACTCCTGGGACCTGGAGGCCAAGGGAGAATGGAGCCTAGCTAGGATTAAGGGTAGGAAATGGCTGGGGGCCATACATAGAGGTAAGACAGTGGAAGAGATTGGGTGTAGCCACAATGAAAGGCCAGTTGATGGAATTATAGCCTCAGGCAAATGCCAAGAGATTTGGCCATGTGGGAAAGTCCAGGGTTTTTCCTTCCTGGGACCCAAAATTATTTCTTGTTGAGTTTGTCCCTGAGCTAAAATCCTGTTCACTTAGCTGGCTGCACTTGTGAATATAGACTTCATGTAGACAGTTGAATATGACTGACACACACAGGGTCAGATGAGACTTTTTTGTTTGTTTTCTAAGTTTTTCCCCCCTCCATTTTACTTTCCTTTCCTCGGAGACTGATGCCAAACTTGGCTTTGCTTGGACCAAGTAATTTCTCTTTCAGCCTGGAGGGGAGCTGCACTTCACTGACGTCTATGCTAGCCTTAAATTGCCTGCAGAAGTCAAGGTACATAAAGTTTTATGGAGTAGGTTGTTGTTTTTTAATGTAATAAGAGAAAAAAGTTACAAATGATCACTCCAACTACAGTGTGAAATCTTAGACTTTGTATTGTCTTCTAGGATAGCTGTGAGAGCAAGCTGGAAACAGGATTTAAAAAAAAGTCTTGTCTTGTTTAATCACAAAGTGGAGGGACTCATCAATGTGAAATTATCTTGGAGTATTCTCCTTGAAAGGTCATTAGTTAAAAGGCCCAGTTTCCATCTTATCTCATTGTTCTTTCTTAGTCTCATTTACAGATTTCTTTTTCTTCCTCTAGCCCCCTCCCACCCCACTAACTCCTAGTGGGGGCATTTCTCAAGGTTCTGTCCTTAGCTTTCTTCTCTCAATGTAATTCTTTCCCACTGATCTTATCTATTCCCTTGGCTTTTGCCACACCTCTATGTGGATGACTTCAGAATTTTTATCTCCAATCCTAACCTCTCCCTTGAACTCCAGACGGCATTTTCAACTGCCTCTAGGGTGTCTCCCTCCACCTGAATATCTCCTTCAACACTTCAAACTCAACATATCCAAAATTGACTTCATTATCTTCTCTGTCCAAACTTGCCCCTCCAGTCAACTTCCCCATTTTTGTTGATGGTGCCACCACTCTAAAGAATCACAGAATTTGAGAGCTAGAAGGTGAAGGGGGGGGGCTTGAGGTGCTCTTAGATACACAGAGGCACCCCAAGATTGTGGGAAAAAGCCCAAATCACAGCGCAGATCTGCCTGAATGAATTCAACTCAGATCTTCTTCCAGCCAGAGAAAAAATTTATTAAAGATAGGCATATAGGCCAGACTCCAAAGGAACCCAAACATCAGATATCTAAATAGGGTTCAAGGTGGTCAGGTGACGCTCGCAAGGACGAACAGCATGAGGCAGTCTAGAAAGCTCAGAGTCTGAGTGGGGGCTGGGGTGGATAGGCCAGGTGACGCCCTTAGGATGGGAGGGCATGAGGGGTCTCAGCTTCTAAGCTTGAGAACAGCTCAGCATCAGAATGGGGGAAAGGTGAGCCTTAAGTACAGACTGATTGGGGAGGGGCCAAGCAGCTTGGAGTGATGGGAGGAGGGGTCCAAGGAGTGGCCAAGCAGTTTGGGGTGAGGGGAGGAGGGGTCTAGGGAGATCTGGATGGGGGTGGCCAGCAAGCTGGGGCGAAGGGAACACTGGCACCGAGCTAGGATTAAGGGTGGGAATGGCCAGGAAGGCAAAACAGTGGGAAAGCCAGTTGATGGGGGAGGTGGGTCCTTTGGAAAAGGGTCCAGGTGAGAATTTCTGTTTGGAATGTCTGAGTGATTTGAACAGACAATGAGAATAGATAATGAAGGGAGCTGGGAGGGGAAGTTTGCTTTCAAAGGGAAATAAGGCAGTTTCTAAACTTTAAGGGTTTCCTGGGGACCGGTAAACAAAACTGAAGCCAGGTTCTTTTTGTCAAAGAGAGATAAGTGAGTCTATAAGGAATCTAAAAGTTTTAAGGTTTTTCTGGGAATTGTAGGTAAACCTCTTCAGAAGGGACAGTCTAGTCCGACCCACATAGAAAAAGAATTCCCACAATATGGGACCATCCACAAGGGATCATTTAGCTCCTGCTTGAAAAACATGGGAAGCTTACCACTTCTTCTTAAAAATCAAATTTCATTTCATTTTCAGATGCACATTTTCTCTGTCTCCCATCTCTCCCCTCCTCTAACCCTCCACAGGTGAGGAAGCAAGAAAGACAAAACCCCTGTTTTTTTAATTTATTTTGATTTATCAATAATCACCTCCATATGCTTTTGAGTTTGAAACTTTTCTCTCCCTTCCTCCCCCACCACCCTCCCCAAGATGGCACACAATCTGATATAGGTTTACATTCCTATTAAACATTTACATTCCTATTAAACATATTTTCACATTAGTGATGTTGTAAGTAAAAATTAAAACCAATAGGAGGAACCATCAGAAAGAGGAAACAAAACTCAACAGAAGAGAAAAAAAATAACAATTCAACTCCATAGTTCTTTCTTTGGATATGGATAACATTTTCCATCATGAGGCCTCTGGAGATGTCTTAGATCCTTGTATTGCTGGGAAGGGTTAAGTTTATCAATATTAGTCATCGCACAACGTGGCTGTTATTGTGTACAACATTCTCTTGGTTCTGTTCACTTCACTCAGCATCAGACCATACAAATCTTTCCAGGTTTTTCTGAAGTCAGCCTGTTCATCATTTCTTTTTTTTTTTTTAATTTTTTTTTTAATTTATTGAGGCAATCAGGGTTAAGTGACTTGCCCAAGGTCACACAGTTTGGTCTGAGGTCAGATTTGAACTCAGGTCCTCCTGACTTCAGGGCCTGTGCTCTATCCACTGCACCACCTAGCTGCCCCAATGTTCATCATTTCTTATAGCGCAATAGTATTCCATTAGATTCATATACCACAACTTGCTCAGCCATTCCCCAATTGATGGGCATCCTCTCAATTTCCAATTCTTTGCCACCACAAAAAGAGCTGCTACAAATATTTTTGTACATGTGGGTCCTTTTCCCATTTGTATGATCTCTTTGGGATATGGCCCTAGAAGTGCTATTGCTGGGTCAAAGGGTATGCGCATTTTTATAGCCTTTTGGGCATAGTTCCAAATTGCTCTCCAGAATGGTTGGATCGTTTCAGAACTCCACCAACAATGCCTTAATGTTCCAATTTTCCCACATCTTCTCCAAAATTTATCATTTTTCTGTTTTGTCATGTTGGGCAATCTGACAGGTGTGATGTGGTACCTCAGAGTTGACAAAACCCCTGTTACAAACATGTATAGTCAAGCAAAACAAGTTCTTGCATTGGCTGTGTCCAAAAAATGTCTCAATCTGCACTCTAAGGGCACCCCATCTATCAGGAGGTGGGTAGCATGTTTCATCTTCAAATCCTCTGGAATTGTAGTTGGTGATTACACTGATCAGAGTTGCTAAGTCTTTCAAAGTTGTCTTCAATATTGTTGTTATGGTATAAAGCGTTCCCCTAGTTCTGTTCAATTCACTCTACATCAGTTCACATACATCTTCCCTGGTTTCTCTGAAAACATTGCCTTCATCACTTCCTACAGCACAGTAGTATTCCGTCATCATTCATATGCCATAACTTGTCCAGCCAATTGTTGAGCAACTCCTCAGTTTCCAATCCTTTCCCGCCACAAAAAGAACTGTTATAAATATTTTCATATATGTGAGTCCTTTTCTTCTTTCTTTCATCTTTTTGTGCTATAGACCTAATAGTGATATTACTGGGTCAAAGAGTGTGCACAATTTAATAACTTTTTGGTCATAGTTCCAAAATTACTTCCCAGGATGGCTGGACCCATTCATAGCTGCACCAAAGGGGAATAAACATGCCTGTTTTCCCATAAGTCCTCCAGGATTTGTCCTTTTCCTTTGTTTAAACTTTGCCAATCTGAGAGGTGTGAGACATAGTCATTTTAATTTGCATTTTTCTAATTATCAGTGATTTTGGAGCTTATTTTCACATTTATTGGTAGCTTGAATTTCTTCCTCTGACAACTTATTCATATCCTTTGACCATATATCGGTTATGGAATGAGCCACCATCACTTGAGGCAGTCCTTTCCACTTTTGATCAGCTCTTCTAAGTCAAACCAAGCTCAAAACCTCAAGAATGTCTTTGACTTTTCCCATTCCCTCAGCCCATGTCCAATCAGGTGCCAAGATTTTATCTCCACAATATCTCTCAATTATCTTTTTTTCCATTCCTACTGCCAATTCAGGCTCTTATTCTCTTATCTTATACCAGGCTGTGGTCTGGTCTACTGTAATAGGCAGAAATAATTTCTTGTTTATTTTTGTCTCTCTCTTATCCTCTAGCAGCTATACCTTATACATGAACGCATAGTAGATGCTTTAGAGCTGTTTACTGGACTTCATTGAATTTATTACTTCCTATATCTTGGGGGAAAACCTGGGCTGGGGTTTTAACTATTTCCAAATCTTAGTCATTATAAGGAAATAAGCCTTTACGCTTCCTTCTAACTGTATTGTTGTTATGCAGTTGTTTTAGGTGAATGTTTAGGGGGAGCTCTATTCTGGAAAGACCTGTTCACGTTGGCTAGAGAAACTGGGTTCTGTGCTCCACAATTGGTCAATGCTAAACCAATTACCCTTGAGGACAGGGAACTGGAAGAAGTTATTGGTAAGAATACTAGAATAGGGAGTGATATAAATAGAACCTGAATGATAGAAATTCAAAATTTAAATTCAACAAATTGAGTGCCTGCTATATTATATGTAGAATGTAAGGCCCTTGCAGGTTGAGACTATCTCACCTTAGTATTTGCATTTGTAACTTCCACTATAATGCTTGGCATATAGTAGGTGCTAAATAAATGCTTATTAATTGATTGATATATGGAAGGTATTTGACTCATTTTTGTTGAAATGATACTGTGGTAGTCACTGTATAAATCACATGTGTCCATCTTGCCTTCTTTCTGGTGTTACCTCTCACAGGCTAGCTAGAGGCTCAATAAAAGACACTGTGGCCAGTTTATAGATTGGAAGAAAACTGACATTGATGATGACAAGTACTGAAGTATTGTTACATATTAGTCCTGGTGGTCTTGAGACCACCATGACAGTCTCCCCTTAAGAGAGGCTGTAGCTTATAGAATCCATGCATGGAAGCCAGTGCATGAGGCCATGCTGATCCTTAAGGGAAAGTGTAAGCTTATTGAACAAATTCATGGAAAAATACTGACAATAATATTTTTGAAGGTTAGTATGCCCCAAATAATATTTTGTCTGTTACCAGCTTGTTTTTCTCCATGACGTGCAAACCCCCCAAATAATGTTTTGTCTACCACCAGCTGTCCTCTCTAAATGAAGGCACATACCCCAGAATTAAGCCTGTTTTATATCTCCAATCCAATAAAAACTTACCTAAAGGCATACAATCTTTGGTGGTGATAAGGAAGAAAGCAGATGATGAAACTAATTCACACTGAAGTATGAAAGACTATAGCATTAATGTGTTAATCTTTTGAAGAGTATTTTCATTTTAAAACAATCTGTTAGCCCAAAGAAATGAATGTCCAATTTCAGCTAGGCTCATCTTTTTTGTTTTTTTGTTTTTTTGTTTTTTTTTTAACAAAGGATACTTACCAATGCCTCTCAATTTGCTTAGCCTAGAAGCTGGTCCTGATTTGTGTTTTCCAGCATTAACTTCAAACCAAAGGGTTTCTGGTGAGTAATAGACTAAAATTGCCTTCATCTTCATGTGTTCATGGCCCTTAACTTCTGGTTTCCATGGGAATGGCAGTGGGAAAAATTCTGCAAGTGAATTTAAAAAAAAAATTAATCAACGTCAGTGCTTTGTATAAAGCAGCCAAAGGGATTGTTATTGCATCCTAGAATACCTTACAGGGCAGCTAGGTGGCACAATGGATAAAACACCAGCCCTGGAGTCAGGAGGACCTGAGTTCAAATCTGGCCTCAGACACGATACTCACTAGCTGTGTGACCCTGGGCAAGTCACTTAACCCTGATTGCCTCACCTCCCCCCCCAAAATAGAACCTTATATTTTTCATAGTACTCAAATCATTTTTCACATATATTATCTCATTTGTTAAAAGGCAGTGGAAAGAGGCCTGGATTGAGAATCAAAAGACCTAGATTCTACTCTTCTGGCTAAGCTACTTAGAAGCTGGGTGATATTAGGCAAATCACTTAACCTCTTACTTTTCTTATCTGTAAAATGGGTATATTAATGCCTGATCACAGAGTTTTTGTTAAGGTCAAGTGAGATAATATGTGTAATGTACATGATGGGTCCCCAGAACCAGTACGCTAGATTGTGGCATCAAATATAGACACCAACCTTTTAAATAATTATGATATGCCCTGCAGGAAGTCAGTTTCATTATTCTTTGCAAGCCATCACTTAAAAGCAATTTGGGTGTGCCATTTCATTTCCATTACAGAGTTTTCCCTCCACTGAACTCCTACCCACTCATGTTAGATTTTACTCCTTAATCATACCACTCAAACTCCTTGGGTTTTTGTCTTGTTTTCCCAACACACCTGTGAACTCCTTGGGGACAAGGTGCATACTGTCTTGATTCTTCGATTCCCCACAGTGCTTAGCAGAGAAATGGGTGAATATATCTTGATTTTAGGTGATTGTCAGTTTGTTTTGGCAACATTTCATTTCTTCAGATTTCCCAAGAAAGTCCCAGACCATAGGTATCAGGATGTTTACAACAGAGATATTGTGGTCTAGGGGTGCTGGGAATTCTGAAATGCAAGGATACAGGGCTGGAGTCTGCCTTGAAAGAATTCTACCATTCAAGCCTTCTTTCAGTCCAAGTAGCAAGTTTATTAAGACGTCATTTGGGTGGGTGAGATTCCTAGTGAGTCTGTTGCTTAATGGGGGTTTTGAATGAAACTTTTATAAGAAAAAAGGGAAACCGGGTCAGTGAAAGGATCTTGATGGGATTAAGGAATGGCTAGTAGCCTGGGTGGTCTAACAGAGAATGAAGGGCTGGGCTGGGTCAGGGGCCACAGTGAAAGGATAGTTGAAAGGATTATACTGGAATGGGCCAGATGCCTCAGGCAAATGCCAGAGATCTGGGCTGCTGAAATTTGTTTGAGGGGGCAGCTAGGTGGTGCAGTGGATAGGGCACCATCCCTGAAGTCAGGAGGACCTGAGTTCAAATCTGGCCTCGGACCAAATACTTGACACTAATTACCTGTGTGACCCTGGGCAAGTCGCTTAGCCCCAATTGCCTAAAAAAAAAAAAGAAATTTGTAGGAAAGTTCAAGGACTCTTTTTAGAGGTTAAGGTCCCATACGCCAGCATTGAGATTTCTGGGCATGAGAAAGAACTGATATTTGATGCAAATTTCTCATTTTAGGTGGGTCTCTCATGCCAAATCAGTTCTATCACACTTTTACCTCAGCCAAAGACATACCTTTATTCATCTTTCATTATTTTCCTTTTACAGTTTTTCCCCTCGGAAGCCTTATACAGACATCTTATTGATGAGTGTTTTGAAGAATGATATGGGAAGGGATAGTAGGAAAATGTATTATTCATGTCAGTCATTAAGTTTTTTTTGTTGTTCGTTGTTCAGTCATTTTTCAGTCATGTCCTTCATTACTCCATTTGAAGTTTTCTTGGCAAAGATACTGGAGTGGTTTGCCATTTCCTTCACCAGCTCATTTTACAGATGAGGAAACTGAGGCAGACAGGGTTAAGTGATTTGCCCAGGGTCACATAGCTGGTAAGTGTCTGAGGTAGGATCTGAATTCAGAAAGATGAAATCTTTCTGATTCTAAGCATGGCACTCTATTGACTTCATCACCTAGCTGCCCAGTGTGCCCTGGCAGATTGTAGGTACTATATAAGTGCTGTTATTATTATTATTATTAATAATAATAATTCCATTTATTCTACTTTTTTTTCTTAGTTTTAAACAATTATTTCCATATGCTTTTGAGTTTTAAAGTTTTCTCCCTTTCCCTCCCCAAGACAGTGTGCAATCTGATATAGGCTCTACATATATACTCCTATTAAACATATTTTCACATTAGACATGTTGTAAGGAAGAATTAGAACCAATAGGAGGAACCACAAGAAAGAGGAAACAAAACAAAACAGAAGAAAAAAAAAAAGAGCAAATAGTATGCTTCGATCCGCATTCAAACTCCATAGTTCTTTTCTCTGGATATGGATAGCATTTTCCATTGGCGATGTCTTAGATCCTTGCTTTGCTGAGAAGGGCTAAGTTTATCAACGTTACTTATCACACAACATGGCTGTCACTGTGTGTAACAGTCTCCTGGTTCTGCTCACTTCACTCAGCATCTGGTTCTATTTTTTTTTTTTGCTCTACACTTTAGAAAGATTGTTTTATATATATAGATATAGATATAGATATAGATATAGATATATATTTTGTTGAATTCTTCATACTTGTCTTAATGGTGATATAGAATTTTATCATTGATTTAACCATTCCCATATTGGATGTTATCAGTTTTTTGCAGTTATACATAGTGCTGCTTTGAAGACCTTTGGACAGATGGTTTTGTTGTTTTTGTTTTTTGATAATGTTTTTAGGGTCTGTTCACCGTGTTTTTGTTCATTGCCTCAGTGCCCTCTGGCACAATCCCTTGGCACATCGAGTCAGAAGGTCATGGGATTGGAAAGGATCATAGGAGTTTGCTCCATGACTTTCTCATTGGATAGATAAACATCAAGAAGTTCAAAGGTCTTTCTTTTCTCCCTTCTGAGGTCAGGCTGAAAACAAGGGCAGTTGGTGTGCTCATGGTTCACAAAGGCCACTGGAAGAAATCCTAAAAAAAGGCTGCCCTGTGAAATGAGAGAGGAGCTAGTGGCAAGGTTGTGGGGACCTCTCAGCCTTGGAATCCGAGACCCCATCCAATGGGAAGATTTCTGGCAAATTCCCCCCCCCCCCCATCGAGACTCAAACCAGTGCCCTCTCACAACATTTGTTTCTGCCTCCTCCCTTTGGTTTGGGGGAATAATTGAAAGGAATGAAGAAACAGAGGCTATTTTGAAGAATTTCAGGTTTGCTCTGGAGTTTCTGATTAAACCACCAGGAGGGAAGTTGTGGACACCTGGGGGTTGTTTTGCTTTGGAAGCACAGGTTTGTCTGGCTTTCTGTCTCTTGCCTCCTGCAGAGAGCCTGAATGTGTTGGGTTTTTTTTTCCCCCACCAGCAGGCTTGCCCCCAGGCTACCAAAGTAAAATCAATAAGATTCACTATTCTTTGCATTTGACCAGCCTGGCAGGTGTTATCTTCGAGGCTGATTGAACCGTTTCCTACTTTTAAGTGTCCACAGTAGGAGAGATGCTTTATAGAAAGAACACTTTCATCTTTTTCAGTTTTGATGATGGATAGAAAGGAGCTTTGAAAAAACAAATGCGAGATTACTATCATTATTACATTTAAAAAAAATACAGGTGAGTCTGTTGTAAGAGTGTTTCAAGTGGCAGATGATAGAGCCACCCACTCATCAGAGGATGGCAGAACTTTGGAGAAGGAAAGAGGCCTTCAGGAATCATCTAATCCAAACTCCTTATTTTAAAGATGAGGAAAATGAAGCTCCAAGAAATGATTTTTTTTATGCTACTGATAAATGACAAATGAAAAACCAGGCCTTTTATGTTCAACTTATTATAATCAATCACTAATGCAGGAAAGTAGATTAACCTTTTTTTTTTTTTGGAGGCAATGGGATTAAGTGACTTGCCCAGGGTCACACAGCTAGTGTCTGGGGTTGGATTTGAACTCATGTCCCTTCTGATTCCAGTGCTGGATCTCTATCCACAGTACCACCTATCTGCCCCTAGATTAACATTAAAAAAATAAAAAAAGATTTAATAAGGACTGAACTAGATAAACAAATGAATTTTCCTGAGAGTTACAGTTAGTCAAGGATTTGCCATGTTTGTTTTCTTTTTCTCAGTACATTTTTGCAATGTACTGAGTGTGTGCTCAGGAAGCAACGTGGAAACATAAATTCTGCTGCTGCATTTGATTGATTCAGTCCAACAAATATGTGTTGTTGCTGTTGTTGAGTCATTTTTAGTCCTGTCTAACTCTTCGAGACCCTATTTAGGGTTTTCTTTCCTTCTCCAGCAAACATTTGCTAAGTGTTGATTCTATCCCCCCAGAATCCCTTTTTTTGGGGTAGGGGCTAGGCAATCCCCCCATATCTCTTATATTTGTCCACTCTTTACCCCTCACTTGGCCTTTTAAGGTTATGGCTTTTAAAAAAAAATTCACCTCTCACCTGGACTATTGCAACAGTCTCCCAAATGGTCTACAAGCTTCCAGTCCATTCCCTTTCAGACTGTGCACAATTATTAAAATCATTTTTCCCAGAGTACAGGCCTCACCAAGGCATACTCTTGTTCCAAAAACTTCATCAGCTCCCTGTTGCTTCTAGGATCAATGTTTCAAAGCTTTCCAGAATCAGCCTCACTGACTTTTCTAGGCTTATTGTACATTATTTCCCTACACAAACTTGGTCTTCAAGCCAAACTGGTTTACTTGCTGTTTTCACAACCTGATGCTGAATCCCCTGCGGCTCTTTGCTTTTGCAGAGGGCTGTCCCTCTTGCCTGGAATGATCACCCTCCTTATCTCTGCCTCTTTTTTTTTTGTTTTGTTTATTTTGAAAAAAAATTTTTTTTTGGGTGAGGCTGGCCCAGAGTCACACAGCTAGTAAGTGGCAAGTGCCTGAGGCAGAATTTGAACTCAGGTCCTCCTGATTCCAAGGCTGGAGCTCTATCCACTACACCACCTAACTTCCCCAAATATATATATATGTATTTTGGGGGGGGGGGCTAGGCAGTGGGGTTAAATGACTTGCCCAGGGTCACACAGCTAGTAAGTGTTAAGTGTCTGAGGCCAGATTTGAACTCAGGTCCTCCTGACTCCAGGGCCAGTGTTCTATCCACTTCACCACCTAGCTGCCCTCATCTCTGCCTCCTAGACTGCTCCACTCATGGTCACCTTGTCTAGGAAGACTTTTCTGATCCTGATCCTTTAGTTACAGCATCTGTTCTGTCGTTCTCATATTATAATGTATGTTCTTACTTAATTCTACATGTTGTAGAATGTAAGTAACTTCCAAGAGCTCAGGTATTTGTACCCCTCTCTCCTACCCCCACCCTACTCCCACCTAGCACAGTGCCCTTCAAGTAGCAGGGCACTTAACAAACAAATAAATAAGCAAGCAAATGAGCAGTTGATGAACACCCCTTTTGTGACAGGCACCGTTCTAAGTGTCAGGAATACATTCACAAGAAACTAACATTCTTCTTATTAAAATTCAGTTTTATTCTATTTTCAGGTCTTCATTCTCTCCGCACCCTAACTGAAAAACAAAAAACCAGAATCCATTAGAAATAGATTATCTTTCAGTCATGTCTGACCCTTCATGACTCCATTTGAGATTTTCTTGGCAAAGACATTGGAGTGGTTTGCCATTTTCTTTTCCAGCTCATTTTACAGATGAGGAAACTGAGGTAAAGAGGGTAAAGTGACTTGCCCAGGGTCACACAGCTAGTAAGTGTCTATGAGGCCAGATCTGAATTCAGGAAGGTGAATCTTCCTGACTCCAGGCCTGGCACTCTTTCCACTGTGCCACCTAGCTGCCTAGAAACATGTAGAGTTAAGCAAAATAAATTTTCCCATATTAAAAAAAAATTGTCTCAGTCTGTACTCTGAGTCTATTACCTCTCTACCTGGAGGTGGGTAGCATAGAAGATAACATTCTAGTGGGAAAACAGTAAGTATATATATATATATGGGAAAACAGTAAATATATATATATATAATATATATATACATATATACACACATATATATAAAAAACATTCTAATGGGAAAATAGTAAGTAGATATATGTGTATATATATATATATATATATCAAACAATAAGTACATAGTATATAGAGGATGCATGCAATCAAACAAATATAAATAAATACATATGACAAATAAAGATAAGGAGGGAGGGAAGGCACTAGCAGTTGAGATAATCATGTAGAAGATAGTGCTTGAACCCTGTCTTGAAGGAATAGAAAGCTTCTATGAGGCAGGGGAGAGGAGTGAGTACATTACAGGCAGGCAGTGACTAGCATTCATTAAGCACTTACTGTGTGCCATACAGTACCTGGGTATATACATATAAACAAAGAGAAAGACAATCCCTGCCCTCAAGGAGCTTACATTCTAATGGAAGAAGAGAACATACACAAGGCATCAGAGTTGAAAAGTGAGTGTGGGGGGTTAGGCGGGGGAGATTTGAGGTGGTACCCAAGTAACAGGTTAGGGTCAGATCGTGAAGGGCTTTAAAAGCTCGATAGCTTCTAGTTTGTCTTCAAGCCACAACAGGGAACCACTGGGATTGTTTGGGTAGGGAGGTAACATGGTCAGATCTGCATTTAAGAAAAACCGATTTGGCCGTATTATGGAAGATAGAAGCAGGAAGGGAGTTGAGGTAGGAGGAACAGTTCATTTGTGGGTTGTTGTAGTAATCTAGGCAAGGGTCGAGGGGGGACTGAACTGAAATGATGGAAGCATGAGGAGAAAAGAGGGATTGGAGGGGAGGGATGCAGTGGTGCTGGAGATGGTTAAGATGTGGCAGCTGCTGCAGTAGGTTGGATGAGAAAGAGTGAGGAGGCAAGGATGATGTCAAGATTATGATCATGAGCAACTGAAAGAATGATGGGTAATAAGTGCTTGCTGTATTGGGCTGCTTATTTCATCCAAGAATTCCCTCCACGGCACACCCAACAAGGGCTCATTTGGGCTTTGCTTGAAGCCTTCTACAGAAGGGAACTCTATTACCATGTGAGACAGCCCACTCTGCTTGGAGGTATCTCTAGTTCTTAGAAAACAATTCCTTATGTCAAATCTGAAATTTCCCCTTTTAACCCATTGTTCCTCCTTCTGTCCTCTTGGGAACTATTTGGCCAAATAGGGCAAATATAATCCTGTCTCCATGTGATGGTTTTTCAGATGCTTGAATATAGTTATCATGTTCCCCCTAAGCCTCCTCTAGGCTAAACATGCTCAGTTCTTTCAGCCAATCCACATAGGGCATGAACTTGAGACCCCTCACCATCCTGGCCCTCCTCCTCTGGATCATCTCTAGCTTATAAATGCCTGTCCTAAAATGGGATGATTAGATCAATATTTCAAAAGAATTCTGACCAGGGAAGTATTATGCCTTCCTTAACTCTGGTTTCTCTTAATGCACCCCAAGTTTCTAGTAGCTTTCGGGTGGCTAAAGTATCATCCTGTTGATTCCTATTGGGCTAGAAGTTCACGAAAACTGCTGGATCTTTCTCAGGCAAACTGCTGCCTAACCATGAGTCAGCAATGTGCTGTAGCATCCAAAATAACCAGTGTGATCTTAGACTGCATTAAGAGAGGTCTGGTTTTCAGAAAGAAGGAGATGAATTCAGTCCTTGTTAGGCCTTCTCTGGAGTCTGGAGTTCATTTCTGGGTAACCTGATTTAAGAAAGACATTGAGAAACTGCAGAGTATCCAGAGGAGCCAGAAAAAGGAAGATCTTTAGTCCATGTTATGTGAAGACCAGCTGGGCATGTTTAGCCTGGTAAAGAGAAGACCTTGGGAGAAAGGGTGAGGGAGAGGCAGGAGGACATGATTTGCTGGGTTGTCTTTCAGTCATGTCCAACTGTCCGTGACCCCACTTGCGGTTTTCTTGGCAAAGATACTGGAATAATTTGCCATTTCCTTCTCCAGCTCATTTTACAGATGAGGAAACTGTGGCAAACAGAGTTAAGTGACTTGCCCAGGGTCCCACAGCTAGTAAGTGTCTGAGGTCAGATTTGAACTCAGGTCTTCCTGACTCCAGGCCCAGAGCACTATCCCTTGCACCATGACATGATAGATATCTTCAAGTATCTAAAGGACTACCATGTCTGAGAAGGATTAGACTAATTCTGTTTGGTTCCAAAGGAGCAGTGGGTAAGAAGTGGCAAAAAGGCTGATTTGGACTTGATGCCTAGAAAATATTTCCTAAAAATGAGAGCTGTTCCAGAGTGAAATGTGGTGTCTAAGAGGGGGTGGGTTTTCCCCTCCTTGGGGACTGGAGATGATCAAGTGG